AATTAGAAGTGCTACGCACTGCACTCATTTTATACCTCCAAATAACATTTTATTTACCATGGCAATATTTTCCATTTTATATAGTGCTCCATTTTCCCATGGAATGGAAAGGTATGGAATTTCCCATCTAAGAGGTATCCTAGGATCTGACTTGCTCAGCCCTAAAGCCAGTCTTTCATGCACCTAAGAAGGATAATTAGTCTGGTTTCATGCTAGGGAGATGCTGGATGGTTCATAATGGCACTAATCAGAGCCTACTTGTAGAGTCAGAAGTCCTGTGCTCAGAGGGAACTCAAATAGGCTTTGCTGCTTTCTGTTGCAGGTAGGTTTGTACTGCTTCACCAATCTCTGCAGAGTCAGCTGTCTTCCAAAGGTTATGAAATGATCCTTGAGTATTCCTTCAGATGGCTGCAAGAGTATTGGTGACTCAGTCCTGTAAGATTTCAGTCTTAAGGTCTGTAAGGTTTTTGTATGAAGAAAGATTCTAACAGTGTTACTATTTCTTTCTATTTTTTTCTGTTTCTATTTATTTCTATTTTTTTCATGGAGTATGTTTCCATTCCTCTTCTCTGCCTGATTTTTCCAAGCTGAGTTACTTCTCATAGACACAGCCATGTACACAGACAGTCTACATATTCCCTTGCTGGCATTTCCCAAACTGTTCAGACAGCTTGTAATGAAAAAATAAGTGCATTTTCTGAGTAAAAATTCAGGGCCTCTAGAACATAACTGACAGTGAAGTGTTTAAAACCCCGTGAATTAACTTTGGCTTTATTTAGTCTAGAAGGAATAGAGCGTTGTATGCATTTTGCTAATGTTTACATTAAAAGTGAAGGCATGATTTGTTTCCCATGCCTGAGATGAATTAGAAAGAGTTTCTGTTACACTAAAGCTTCTGCCTGTTGTGGAAAAAGATGAATTGCTATGTACAATGAGAAGAAGAGATCACAATGTGTATGACATACAGTCACCAGAAGCCTTGGGATGCCCCTTCTAATAAGAGAAAAACACCTGGGAATCAGGGAGACATCCCAGCTCTTACAGATTCATGCTTGGGTCCTTTGATGAGAGCCTTTTGTACCCCTGGCTGTAAAACAAGGGGTGGGCATCTTGGTAGAGGAGCCTTGACAGGGGACCTTCCCTCCAGCAGAGAGGGGAGATGGTGTCTGCCATTCTCCCGTACAATCTGCTTTCCTTGATCTCCATCGTGACCTGTGGAACCGTTTTTATTAGTTGTAGGTATTGGTGTTGATGGTGCAGTATATAGAAGTAGTTTGATCGAGACAATTTACCATCCTAGAAACTAGTATGGAAACAAAGCAATTGAATGTTCTGGTTCCTTCAAACAAAGCCCACACGCTGTGCCGGTGGGAAGGCTGTCATGTCATAGCTAGGTGTGTAAAATAAAATGGCCTTAGGGGTGTTGAATACTTAGAGCTGTGAAACAGTGCAGTTTGAAACATATAGATATTGCTTAGATGTTTTGCTCTGAACATGGGATCCCTGCTGAAATCACAGAGCACATTCATGCATGGCTTAAAAAGTGGAGTTTTAGAAGGCTGGCAAAATATTTGTGAGCTTACCTAATGTTTGTCTGCTTTTATGTAAAAAAAATTATGATCTTTACATAGAGAAATGTGAGCTTTTTTCTTCCCCCTTCAGTTCAGGTAATATAGGCATAAAGTGTTTCAGCTCATCAAATTTGGCTGACTTAAAATGCAGTCGGCTTTTATGTGCAATCAATGCACCACAGTGTGGCCTTTGAGTCACAGGAAGAAGCCATTGTAACTATCTTTTTTTTTTTTTAGCATGTTTGTACATTTCCTATATTGATGCTAAAAGACAGGAGAAAAGATTTGTGTGGAATGACACAAACAGAATATAAAAGAGGAAATTATCTTAATGACCTGCCTTTTAGTTTTTCAGTTTCTGGAGCAGGAAAAGGCTCCTAGGAGCAATGGATGGGAAAGATGACCTACTTTAATTTAAAACCACAGATGAACTGAACCTACTTTTTTCAAACCTCAGTCCAGCAATCAGTCCTATTAAAACATGGTCTTAAAATCTTCATGTATCTTTTATGCAAAAGAACTGTTCTAGGAAGAGAAGAAACTTTCTGCCCAGTGCTAGGTGAGGGCTCTCCATGTAGGTAAGCCACTGCTCTGTCCAGGCTGGTACTTGAGGTGACAGGGGAAGGCACTGTTGCTTTCCATAGTGTAATGTCTTCAGCTTCTTACTAATTTATCATTAATTATTTTTTAGTTTATGTTGGATCAGTTTAACCTCTGGAGCATGAGCGTTTATTACATTATCTTGCACTGCTCACGATAATACCTGCCCTGGATGGCTTGACTCCTTCCACCTCATCTCAGACTCCTTGGGAACTTTCCATACTGGAGCAACTGCCTACCTGTCTATTGCTATAATTTTACATTTAGGTTTTTTTTAGTCAGTGGCTTATTACCAGATTTAAATATTCTAAAACCATGCCTCAAGTAATGTGATTGCAGCACTGTCTGCAGGGTACCTGCAAAGGGTTGCTTGTTTGGAAATTACAACAGATTACAGCTTTGATGTTATTGTTACTGTGTATTGCTGGGGTTGAGATTCAGAGCTTTGCACAGCATTCACAGCATTTCTCAGGTTTAAGTTGAACTGGATTTCTACTGTTGGTACAGAGACATGATGCTACTAGGGCAGATTTTCAGAATAAAAAGGTTTGCAGCCCTTCTGAAGTAAATTTATTGGCATTACCTCAACAGATGGGGGAGAGGCAATCTTGATGAAAACCTGCCAACAGCCAGAGTTGCCTCTTGCTGATGGTTTGGACACTGTGACAGTTCTGTTCAGGTACACCTGTGAATCAGTCTTACTCTAGAGCATGTTGCTGAAGATACCACCTAGCATAGTTGGCTTGTGGTTCAATACAACGTTCCAAATTAGTGCATTTATCTATAAATTTTACCTGTTCTAACTCAAAGGTACTGTTTGCACCTTTATACTACCTGCTGCAAGCATAAAATGGGAAGCCCTTGCTGGATCTTGGTAGCTGTAAGCAGTAACAGTCACTAAAAATTTCTAGTTTCTCATCTGAAAGAAATCAAATGCAAAAGATGAAAAGGAAAATTGCTAGCATTATCTCCATATGTATTTGTCAATAAAATGTTGCTGGTATACTGTATATTGTATAATATACTGTATATTGTTTTAACGTATAATATTGCACATAACACATGATGCATCCTAACCCTCCTGAAGATCAGTCCAGGTTCTTGAAAATACAAATTGTAGCTTCAGATATTGCCATTAACAGATTCTACGAGGGGAATGAAGATCTCGCTGTTAGGAAGGGTGCTATAGCAAGTCTGTGGTGTGCATGCTTTCATGCTTGTCACTTCAGTGTAGTTCCTTCTGGCAGGAGCAGATTGCAAACACTCTTACAAAGCAGAAGTGGCAGCCCCTTTGCTGAAGGATGATCTCCTGAGCTATGGTTTATTTATGGCTTATGGTGTGTTACCAGGTTTGCTCTCAGCCAAGAGGAAAAAGTGGCACACAAATGATAGGAGGTTCATTATAACGGACATACTTAAATGTCTGCAGAACTGTTTCAGCTTTGGATTCCCAGCCTTCTCTGTGGTGTCCCATGTTTTCCATTTCCTTCAGCCTAGATAACAGCATAAATCAGACAGTTTGTGTATTGAGTAGTTTGCTTTAGGAGGCATGTGCAATGCATAATTCTGCTACTGTGTTGGGTACCCACTCTCCACAAAGTGTTTGAAGGCACCATGCTATACAAGTGTACAGACTCACTGGGAACAATCTGAGAGATACATAAAAGCACCCTTTATTCTTGTGTATGGCATTAAGATATTTCTGAAATACGAAGTTTTATGGTACATTTGACCTTTAACAATGGCAGTGATGTTCTGCTAAAAGGCAGTTACTGAGGAGGAGCATCCATGTACCTAGAAACACACTCTGGCTCTTTATACTGCTGAGCAGTACAATTATCTTTAGCTAAGAAGAGGATTCTTCAGCAGCTTCTTAGCCGAGTGTTTCTTGCTGGAGACGCTAATTTCCTAGAGAGAGCTCCAGGAACGCAGCCTTTAAATATTGATGAAAATTAGGAGCTGTGCCATTCTCTGGAAAGAGCCATGCAGAGATGACATGGCAACACAAAAACACATTAAGCATTTACTTAGAGCTCCTGCTGCTCTGCTTTGGTGCCATATGGGGTTAGGTTAGCTCACTGCCCATGTTTAGCTGTACATACTAAGCGTGCTAGCATCATAGAATCAACCAGGTTGGAAAAGACCCTTAAGATCATCAACTGTTCCCCAGCACTGCCAAGCCCACCACTAACCCATGTCACCGAGGGCCTCAAATACATGGTTTGTGAACACTCCAGCAACAGTGATTCCATCACTGCCCTGCTGTATTCCCTGGGCAGCCTGTTCCAGTGCCTGACCACCCTCTTGGGGAAGAAATTGTTCCTAATATCCAGTCTAAACCTCCCCTGGTGCAGCTTGAGGCTGTTTCCTCTAGTCCTATCAGTTGTTACTTGGGTGAAGAGACGAGCCACCTCCTGGCTCCATCCTCCTTTCTGCCTTCAGCCTCAGTGCCAGGATGTTGTGCCAGAATGGGGGAGGCTGTTGTGCCTCCCTGTAGCCTTCGGACACGTGGGACCAAAACCATCTCCCCCCAGAATGGGAACTTCTTCCCCCTCCCCAAACACCACCCTGCCTCGGAGGTCGCGACAAGCATCCCTCCTGCTGTGTGGCTCTCGGAGGCATGCCCGGTGTGCCTGCACATGCACGCTCCCGAGCTCTCACACACACACATTGACCCTCCACCGTGCGCACCCCGCGCATACATCGCGCTCCCTCCGCGACAGCGCCGGCCGCGGGGTCCCGCCTCTCCCTCCCCGCCTCGGCGCTGGGACCCCCCCGCCCCGGGTCGAGGGAGCCGCTCCCCCCCCGTGGGGTCCCGCCCCCCGCCGCCGCCCGGGGCTGGCCACCGAGGCATGAAGGGGAGGCTCCGCGGCGGGGCGGCTGAGGCGGGCCCGGGCCCTGCGCGCCGGCGGACCGGCCGCCCCATGCGGGCTCCGAGCATCGCGGCCCCTCGCCGCCGGGATGGAGGCGCCGGGCTGCTGCCGGCCGCAGCTCCCCGTCCTGCTGCTGTGGGGTAAGCACCGCGGCAGGAGCATCGCTTGGGGATGGAGGGGGTTTCCTCGGGGGTCCCTTGCGGAGCAGGTAATCAGGGTGGGTCCGTGGGGGGCTGCAGACACTGCTCCCCTCCGGAGCTTTCTCTCCGCTGCGGGGAATGCTTCCTTTCGGAGGTCTCCATCCCGAGCAGAGCGGCGGGAACGTTTCGATCATCCGCCGGTCTAGCATCCCGCCGCCAGCTGCACCCCTTTATCCACCTTCATGGGGGGAGAGCTCAGAAACCCGGCCCAGGGCACGCAGCCCCCCAGGAAAATGATCTCGGCGACTTCTATGGTTAGTCATGCTTTTCGTCTCGGATCCCAAAGCCGCTGCTGAGGAGGCAGGGTTGGCTGTTGGGAAAGGTTTTCTGCTGCAGGCGAGAGGTTGATTCGCGTCGGAACGGTTGGGTTGCAAACAGGCAGTTGTGAAGTGCAGATATGCTTAAGATCTTTCACTTAGAGTAACTCTATTGCTAGAAGAACTATCTTTGGGCCCCCCCCCCCCTTGTCATGTAGCTTGTTTTAGCCATATTTAATATGTTGCAGTCAGGTCAAAAGTTGCTGGGAGAAGTCAGCTCTGATCTTTTTCACCCAGCAGTAACCCAGAGATGCGATCAAGTCCTTGTGAGTCACAGATAGGGGAGAAGAAATTCAAGCCTTGTATGTTTTGAAGGTTTATCTGAGGACTTTCTAACTTCGTTTGCTAACTTTATGCCCCTTCTGAAGTACAAAGCTGGTAAACACTGGACATCTTTCTAGGAATGACCCACAAATAAATGGGTAGTTATATTGACAGTGTTCAGTAGCATCATCTTGACCTGGTCTGTCAAAAGAATGGCATGTCAAATGCATACATTTTCTGATTCTCTGTGGTTTGAGGACTGGTAAAATCTGACCTTAATCACTTACTGTTATTTCCCAGCTGAAAAGGAATAGAAACCAACACCTGTCTTGACACATGAGAGATTTATGCAGTCTTGAACTCGAGGAACCAGGCAGGAATCTTTGTGTGTGTAGAGACATTGTGATGTTACTGTGACTTTTACAAAGCAAAATTACTCACTGGAGATTTATTTTCAGAGGATGAGTAGAATGAGGGACAGTGTCCCTGTAGCTTAGAAAGCTACAGGAAGATATTTTTCACCAGATACACACAGGTAAATCAATTGCGCTAGACATTTTTGGCTATGCTGGTTGCTTTCTTAAGAGAATAGCACACACACACAAAGATTTTAAAGGTATCTGTGAACAGATAATGCATTACTTTTGCTTGGAATTGGAAAGGATAGATAAAATCAAGAACTAATGAAACTAGTTTAATTTGCTAGTAGAAAAGCCCTGAAAGTGATGGGAAAGATGATACGAAATCGAGGTGTTCAAATAAGAAAAGCCTTAAGTGGCAGAAAAGTAAAGCTCTTCTTTCAGTAATACAAACATACTTGTAGCATTAGCTATTTCAGAAGGATTTTTACTTTAATTGATCCCTTTCTCCTAATGGCTTCTTTTGATTAACCAGAAGCCTACAACCTCTGTCATTAAGATAAAACTCTTGCCAGGATTCCTCGGTGCTAGCTCTCACTGAATCCAGTGGGAAGCCTGTCTGGATGGGGGTGGGAACTGTACTTCTGTAACCACTGCTTTCTGCATATGCAGAAGAGCCTCTACCTGAGGCTCTTGACACATTATCGCTGTGTAGAACCATCTGACGCATTGTCCCTCCTTAGTGAGGATGGCAAAAAAGGCAGTGTGTTTGCTTGCTGGAAGGTCAGTGACCATAGGAGTTGGATTTGCTCTGTGTGTGTTTATTGGAGGGGAAAGAAGGTGTGAACTGAGGTACCTGCTCCGCAGACCACCATCATCGGTACTGTTTACCCTATAAAGTGCTGATAACATCCAGAGCTGGAAACACCAGCTGCCTGGTGAAATCCTCTGTGCTTGGTTTAGCAGAGCTGGAGGTACTTAGAGATACCTACTTACTGCAGAATGTGAGTGCCTCACAAATTATGTATATATCATAACACCAGATTCTTTTATTCCACTTCTACCTAGGGAAACTGAGGCAAGGAGAAACTGAAGGGCTTGACCAAGACTTTTAACAGACTAAATAGGTTATTTTATACAAGTTGCTGTTTCTGCTTGTGTATCCAGACATTTATTTCTTCATCCTTTACATAATGCCGGCATTTCAGTGGTACTATTGGTATGGGAGTCAAAAGATGCTGCCAGAGGAAATGGGTATTTTTTCCTAGAGGAATGTTTCTCAGTATATGGATGTATACCCCTGTAGGGAGAGGTGGTGTGATTTTTACCTGGAGCAGTCTACCCAGGCAGATTTCCAAGACTGTCTATAGCTGTTTGCATTTCATCATCCTGTTTTACAGTGGCTAATGAAGCTTAGCATTCTGGCCAGAGGTGAACAACTGGACAGTTGGAAAGCTGGGAACAGAGCCTAGCTCCAGGCTCCCATTCTCCTATTTTAAAGACCAGACCTCATCCTGCAAACAATAATGAAAAGCTGTGTGTTAAAATCTGAGTTCTGTAAGGTCCTGAGCTCCCCTTGTGTGGAACACAGCGTCTGTAACTCCTGGGGAGTTTGGACTCTTAATGGAAAAAAAAACCCAAAACAAACAGGAAACAACTTTATTGGGCTAAAGTTTGAAATCTAAATCAAGTTTTTTCCATTACTTTCTTATTAATATATCATGCTGTCCTGCAGCTGCAAAGGGTGGAACAAAGAAAGGGAAAACCATTGTAGGAGTTCTGAATTTAATAAACCCAGGTGGGTGTGAATGTAAGACAAATAAACCTTTGCAAAGCAGAACATCTGACAGACCAGAGAGTTTTAACAAAACCACTTCTCTTCCAAAATGATGCTTCTTTTCCTGAAGATGCAATTTTCAACACCAGGCAAGCAGGAAGATAGTGAGTGGACCCCATCAACATCCATCCTGAAAGCAAAGCATGGAGCATAAATCCAAACTCTGTTCCAACTTACGCATGGATACAGACATTTTTCCCACCATCCTTCATGCTTTTTGTGTCTCTTGATTCCTTTTTCGAAGAGGTGTTGGTCTTTTCCTGAGGTCTTCACCATCCAACAGGGAACAGGTTTGTCCTGCCCGCGCTCAGTTGCCTGTGGTGACTGGAAGTGGCTGCAGGTGGTAGCATAGAGCATAAAATGCCATCGACAGCTGCCTCCGTCCTAGCAGCCGGGAGGAATTCTGCTGTGTGTTTGAAGGTAAGCCCAGATTGAAAGTGGAAAGGAGGAAAATGGGCTTTCTGAACCTGACTTACATCAATGAGATCCATTTCTAGAAGCCATTTAGCTAGTAAATTCTTGCTCTTATCACAGAATCCCGGAATGCTTTGGGTTGGAAGGGACCTTAAAGCTCCTCCAGTTCCAACCCCCTGCCACAGGCAGGGACACCTTCCACTAGAGCAGGTTGCTCTAAGCCCCATCCAACCTGGCCTTGAACACTGCCAGGGATGGGGCAGCCACAGCTTCTCTGGGCACCCTGTGCCAGCGCCTCAGCACCCTCACAGGGAAGAACTTCTGCCTAAGAGCTCATCTCCATCTCCCTTCTGTGAGGTTAAAGCCATTCCCTTGCCCTGTCCCTACAGTCCCTTGTCCAAAGCTCCTCTCTAGGTTTCTTGTAGACCCTTTAGGCACTGGAGCTGCTCTAAGGTTTCCTGGAGCCTTCTCTTCTCCAGGCTGACCCAGCCCAGCTGTCTCAGCCTGGCTTCAGAACAGGGCTGCTCTAGCCCCTCATAGCATCTCTGTGTCCTCCTCTGGACTCACTCCAACAGCTCCACATCCCTCTTGTGCAGGGAGCCCCACCTACATAGTAGTCAGGGTTTTAAACACCTTTGAGGTATGAGGGTTTAGCTTTTAGGTTCATTTTAGCCAAATCTATGAGGTAAACCATCAAAGGCTATGAAGTGAAGCTAGAAGTCTATCCTGGGATAGACAGGTACTGCTATAGATGCAGATATGTACAGACCACAAGGTTTTAATGACATGGTCCTGAGCATGCCTGGGGTGGCTCAAGGGGAACCGTGCAAGGTTTTGCTAATGAAGTTGTCTTTAAAAAGTGCAACACCAGCAGGATTTGTACAGTTTGTTGCTTCAGTTGCTCCCACCTCTCCATTGGTAACAGAGGTGATTTCTTGGCTTGGATTGGAGGCAACAAAGCAAATTCAACTTTTTCTTACCAAGGAAAGAAATGCAGCGAGGGAGTCCTTTACAAAGCACCATTTGCTACCATCCATGTCTTTTATATTGAAATTAGTGCTTGAGAGACAGGTATGAAGAAAGCAAACTGTGTTCTCATTTAAGGCTCACAAAGAGATTAATTTTCACAAACTTAATGAAGCCTGTTTTCATTTGCACCTCTCTGTATTAGTGAAAGCTGTTGCACGAGCCATCTTACTTCAGAATAGAAGTGTACAAGTGTATTACTTTATGTTCTATGAAAGCAGCTGTGATTTTTATTCTAAAATAAGAGTCTCTTCATAGCCAGGCTTGCACTGAGATACACTGGGAAATATCAATGACAAAAAAATGACATTATTATAACGTGACTATATATGTAGAAGGTCCTAAAAGCTGCCTGAAGGGCTCTTGGGTCATTTGGGAGGGATATGTATAGGTATGTGGAAAGAAAAGGGTAGGAAAGCAGAATAGGAGTAAGCCTTCTTTTCCATTAGTTTCTAGGCTTGATCTCTGTTGGCTTCCCTGAAATGAGCCTGGAAAGAGGAGACAGCTTTGTTCCTCCCTAAAGGCTTTAAAAAGAAATGAGATGGCACTGTTAGAAATGCTCTGAAAGCTAGAGAGGGTTCCAGCCTTCATCTCCAGAGCAGCTTGACATGCCCTGCCATATTGACTTCAACAAAGGGCATGTCTGCATAGCAGCTGGTGGCCTCAAATTATCCCCTGGAATACAGTATTCTGTCTGTCTGAAGCCAGGCTGATGGCCTTCTG